TCGGTTGAGCGTTCGGCTCTTGATTTCTGCTGGAATCATGATCTCAGGGTCCTGGGATCCAGCCTTACATGTGCCTCCATGCTGGGCGGGGAGTCTGCTTAAGACTGTCTCTCTCCCTCTCCCTCTGGCCCTCTCCCACTCCTGTGCTTTCTCTCTAAAAATAAATAAATAAATAAATAGACAATACATCTAAATACAATGTAACTAGTTATTTTCTATCTCTATTTAGATCACAGACTAAGTGAACTTATAAACTGAGCCTTTATAGAAAGTACAGAAACATCTTTGTGTGAATTTTTTTTTTAATATAAAGAAATTTCCATGGAACCCAAAGTCACTAGCCAAGGTGTATATGGATTTAAATATAGATGATGTCTCAAGTATTCTTGCAATTTAACCTTCCTTTAATGGAAAACATTAGATAGGAATTCTTCTATAAAATGTTAAACTATGGGGAAAAAGAGAGAGAGAGGCAAACCATAAGAGACTCAACTATATGGAACAAACTGAGATTGCTGGAGGGGAGGTGGGCGGGGGTGGGCTAAATGGGTGATGGGATTAAGGAGGGCACTAGTTGTTATGAGCATTGGGTGTTGTATGTAAGTGATGAATCACTGTATTCTACACCTGAAACCAATTTTACCATATTTATTAACCAACTAGAATTTAAATAAAAACTTGGAATAAAAAATAAATAAATAAATAAAATGTTAAACTAACATATCTTCAGTGGTTTCATTTTCCTCTGTTTTCTTTAGCAACAATTCAGAATGTCTTCAGTCATAAATCAGATAGCACAGTTTAAGGCTATTTTAAAGCCTATAAAACTATTCTTAAGGGAACCATGAATCCAGATTACAAACAGTCACTTTCAAACTACTGAGCGAATTGATTTATTTTAAAATACCACTTTATTCCACAGATTGCTCAATAACCTTATGACATGAATCACTTCAATAAAAAAAATTGAGAGGAAGTTGAATTGGGTCATTTTGGGATGTGTGTGTGTGTGTGTGTGTGTGTGTGTAGAGTGTGGAAAAGAATGTTTGATATTTACTGTGATCCTGACACTTTCTGCCTTTCTGAAAACAATGAAAGTAATTAAGCTCTTTTAGGCATAAGAAACATTTTCTCATTTATAAAGCTGCCAATTCTTATTCTTGTGAAGAAATATTTTTAGCCTTTTTAAAAGCCATATTAAGTTTGATAAATATTTGGAGAATATTTAAATATTTAAAAAATAATAATGCCTTAAATTTATATGAAAATTGTTGATTAGATATATGAATTTTTCATTTCCGTATTGAACTGTATAAATACGGTCCCAGAAGCATTTCATATAAAATATGTCTTATTCATGTTGCTATAATATAATATGTCCATTCAAGTTGCTATAACAAATTACCATAGGCTGGGTAGCTTATAAACAATAGAAATGGATTGCTCACAGTTCTGGAGGCTGGAAGTGGGAGATCGGGGTGGCAACATGGTCATGTGAGGGCCCCCTTCTGATAGCAGATTTCTCATTGTATAATCACAGGGCAGAGGGGCTAGGGATCTCTCTGGGGTCTTTCTTCTAAGGGCACTAATCCCATTCATGAGGACTCCACACCCATGGCCTAATCACCTTCTAAAGACCCCACCTACTAATAGCATCACCTTTGGGGTTTAAGATTTTAACAAACAAATTTTGAGGGGACATAACATTCAGATCAGACCATAGCAATATGAAAATATCTTTTTTCATTCTCATAAGCATTAGTATTAAATCTTGATTTTTCACATTAATAATTATATCAGTCGTCTGATAATTAAAATACAAAACATCAAACCATAGTCCTCTCGTTATTCATAGAAATAGTGAATAATAATTTATAGAAGCAGGGCAGGGCAATAAATGTCCACTTTAACTTAAATATTGTTCTCTTCTTCAAATTCATGAAACTAACCAAGGAATCTTTACCCCTGAGGGTTTGTTTCTAGCACCTTGATTTCTTGTGAAATATGGTCACTGATAGAGAAAACTGCATCACAAATATAAGTCACAACCTGTCTTTTTCATACCCATTTCTCCCTTTTATATAATCCCTCATAATTATTTCTTCCTCTCTCTTTTACTGTCTTTTCATACCAGATCGTGAGCCATAATATTAACTAATATTTAGTGAGCATTTGCTGAGACAGGCACTATATTATACCCTTTTCAAGTATTATCTCTTAGATCGTCTCAAAAACACTGTGGGCAAAATAAAAATATAATTACCATTTTTCGATAAGGAAATGGGAATATTCTTAGGCGGTTTATGTAACCAGGAATACAGAGCTGGTAAGTGATGAAACATGTATTTAAACCCAGGTCTATCTGATGGCCAGCACACTTGCTTTTAAGCATTCTATCACTCTGACTCTAATTCAGGAAAAGGTCCTATGATCAAGGCACTTCTGTGTCTCCAGCACACTGTGTCCACTAGATGGTGCGTCACGTTCAAAACACAATAGAGTCAAATCAGATGATGAAATGACAGCAAGAAAGTATATTTATAAATGGACCTTTTTAAAAAACACACAGGCATACACATACATATTCTGTACCCGGGAATAGAATAACTAATGCTTATTTCCACTGAAATTGATATTGTCAATAATCATTTTAATTAAGATATATTAACATTATTATATGTGGAAATTTATAGTTGGCACATGTTTTCTTTATACATTAATGTATTAGAAGAATTTGTACAACATTTCTATGAGGTAGAAGATGGGCATTATTATTATTCTCATTTTACTTAGTGATTAAGCAGTTTTGTTGTAGGAACGAAGCTAGGAAGTAACCAAAATATCATTCAAATTTGTAATCTTATACATAAAATTCTATTCCTTTTCATTATGTCATATGGAAGGATGGGAGAAAGACCTGCAAATTCCAAACATAGAGAACAATCTGTTTGTTGTCAGTTTCGATTTCTAACCCTCTATTCCTTCTAATTACTTTTTTTGGTACTTAAAGTGAAATATACAAAGAAATGATACTTATTTTATTGAATACTTGACAAAAAGACCTCTCGATTCCTATGGATTTTATGTATAAATCATGCTATTCTTTTCTTAGGGAAGTTCAAAACAATGATGAATAGGGTATTCAGTAGTGTTTAACTAACACATACATAGGCTTCAGTTCATGTTCTAGATATTTACTTGATACAATTCCAGGTATATATAACTAAGAAAAAGCATTCACAAAGAGATAGTGTTTCATCCTCTACTTGAATTATGGGACTTGCAAGGCTACTATTTCCACGTATTTGTAGGAAGTCAAACTGTTACTCACTGGGACTTATGACTAGAAAAATCACTTCAAATAAATGTAAGATTGTGATTAACAAAACTCTGCAAGACAAATGTCTAAATACGAATGTTTTCATTTTTGCTACAGAGTACATATAAACTGAAACTACTGAACAAGGATTGATATTCTTTACTGATGGTAGATATTAGTCATGGCTTATGTATTTTACTCCCACAGAAGAGGGTTTTCAGTATATTATCAAATGGCTGAGACTAGAGGAAGTTAAGACTTATAAAGGTATCCATTACTGCAAAACCATGCAACAGTCTACATTTTAATACTTCCAACGTAAATTCTATATCTCAAATAAGTTTTCTAAAAATATTTTAATAAAATGTTCTCTTACTATGGAGACTTGAAAGTTAAAACAAACTATTTTTAATATCACTCACTGTTTTGAAACAGAAATATGGATGAATATTTACATTTTTCATTGAATTTAAGTGTGAGATAGTTTCATAGCTTGCCACTAGGAATTGTACGCAAGTCATTGACTGAGACTCCATCATTTATATTCACTTTTAAAGGATTTTATTGGATCTTCCTCTTGATCTTACTTAAATTGGTAATTTAAACTCTATTACTTTAAAAGCCAGCAAAACATGCCTGTTAGAGCTGAAGTTCAAACTTCAGTCAATAGAAGGGAAACACAGTTGGCAGATTCATGAACGTTGCTGTTATGCACAGTATAATTCAGGAAACTGTTCATTTGCATTACATGCTTTTAGTAAGTAAAACTTCCTGCTTTGATCTGTGTTGCATTTCATTTAACTTCCTGGTATCAAAAGCAACAGTTTGAAACAGGAAACTCTTATTTATTAAGGGCCTACAATCAAAGGAAAGCTTCTTACTTTAAAGTCAGATTTAGTAGTAAAAAAGTAAATTAAAATAGACTCTCTGAGTTTGTTCATTGTTTTCCTTCCTCTGGAGAATAGCCTGATTTAAGTTTTATTTGTGATTCTAGAATACATTTGTGAAATATTAATATTTATAACATTTTTCACTTAGAATACTGAGAACAGTTCCTGAAATATGTTTTAATATTTTAATCAAAAAAAGGTTTATGTGGTGAATAATTAATGTATGAATTAAATAAAAAGTGCTTTTTGTTTTCTTCTGGCTCAGAGGAGTGAATTAAAAAAAAATTCACATTTTACAAAGTTCATTTCAATGCTATCTTTAGAAAGAGCAATAATTTAAAAATCTTTTAAAATATTATTAATTCCAAAAGTAAAACAATTTTCATAACCTTTATTTAAATTTCATATAAAATACCTGTTGAGATTTAGAAAAGTCCATTACATTGACTTTATTTGCAGATTTAAATTATTATTTTTTGTTTGTGTTCCAAACAACTCTATGCGAGCTAGTCATTTGATAACAGATGCATGAAAAATGAAATCCTTTCATAAAAACTTATATTGGAGATGCAAAGCTATTTTATCTGCTTCATATATAAGTTCAAAACAATGTATTTTCAAATAGTATTTTTAGTAACAACAAAGTAAATCAATGATTATGATTTGTTCTTTCTGTGAAAATTCTCATGAGCTATATAATGATACCAAGTTATTAGCAAAAATTATTAGCCTATCTCCAGGTTTCAGTAGTTCCTAAGATATCTAATTATCAATATCCATTTCCTTTAAAGTCTCAGATATCCATCAGTGTAGAAGAGTGGGAAGACACCAAAGACTCCAAAGAACAAAGTCATCACCGAAGCAACCACCGCAACTCAACTTCCAGTGACCAGTCAGACCATCCCTTACTGCGGAGAAAGAGCATGCAGTGGGCCCGAAGACTGAGCAGAAAAGGTCCAAAACACTCTGGTAAAACAGCTGAGAAAATAACCCAGCAGCGACTGAACCTCTACAGGAGGTCAGAAAGACAAGAGCTTGCTGAACTTGTGAAAAATAGAATGAAACACTTGGGTCTTTCTACAGTGGGATATGGTATGCTCTTTAAAAGTATTGTATGCTATGGACTTGTGATTCTTGCCATAGTCTTTGTGTAGTTGGTTCAGATTTAGTAAGTTAAGAATCACATTTTTGTTTCACAGGCCAGTTTGAAGGAACTACTGACACATATCTAATACAGAAAATTATAATGATGACAGTAAAAGTAAATGCTAGAAATATTAAGTATTTGCTTAGTTCTCTAGGCACTCTGCTGAACTTATTATATGAATTATCTTAATTTTAATTTTCTCCAAAACTTTTCCATTTTAGAGATAAAGAAACTTAGTCAATAACTTGCTAATTAGCTTTTTAATAGCATGGCTGAGATTTATATCCTGTTCTGTCATGCTCTTACACACACACACACACACACACACACACTCTCACACACTCACACACTCTCACACACACCCAAATCACATTTTATTCTAGGAACTGGGATAATATGAACTTGAGGCATTGGCAAGTAATTAAATGTACCAGTCACAAATGAACCAAATCCATAAAATTTGTTTAGTTTCTTGTGGTCCAGAAATAAAAGTCTACAAAAGTTTTAATTTGAAACTCAAATAGTACGTGATTTCATATAGCGTAGATTGCATCAATAATTATTAAGTTCCTGTGTTGATCTATGATTGCCATATAGACCAAAAAGCACAGCTTAAATAAATAATGCAAAGATAATTTTAAAATATATTCTTTACTACTCTATGAATTTTATTTAAAAAAGAAATTTAGTCAACTTAGAGTAAAGCCAAATGATAAAGTGGTTTTTGTTTTATATATATAACTTGGGTAAACCCGAAGCTAAGATAATATAAATATCATGCAGGTTAAGGATAAAATGGAATGCATTCTATATTTGTCCCATCTCATCTTTATTATTAAAGTCTCAACTTGAAACAGTGTATATAGGGAGAAATTTTAATTATTGAATTAGGTAGAGTTTAAAAGAAGTTAACCTGCTAGAACTATGCAAGGTGCTTTATGTGTATTTTTTCATTACTCCTCATAACCCTGAGTGGATAAGTGTCCCACTTTACCCTAAGAATTTGAAGCTTAGAGCTTAAACGCCTTGCTCAAGGGCCATACAGTTGAAATGTGTTGGGAGTCAGGATTCCATATGTAATTGAAATAATTATTTAGTACTTACTTAAACATAGTACAGACTAATCTGTTAGCAATAATTTTAATATAATCACACAAGGTCTTACGTTAAAGAGTAAATTCAAAGAAAAATTGATCTTCCTTTTAAAAACTATATTAATAATTCTTTGCTAATTTGATGACAGTATGATTGTATTTCTTATAGAACTATAGTCCTATATTTATGTGTACTTTTGTTAGTTATTATTCAGCTACTCTTTCTTTTTTTGGAAAGTTCTAGTAAATGATTGTTCATCCAAGTTCCAGCTGTGTTTCATGAACATTATAACTCAAGGCTGGTCCTGTAAGCAGTGTGGCAGATAACAGTTTGACTCTAAGAGACACAAAAATGCATGAACTGGCTGCATGGGAGAATCATCAGGGAACATATTATGTTTTTGCTAATGAAACTTCTATCAGGTACCTTGCATTTAGTTATTCTTGTGTTTTTTTTTTTAAAATAAATCTGTTAATTTAATTCTCACACTAACTCTTACAGAAAAGAAGAATGGATATTGTCCACCTTCTTTTTTTCTCTCTCTTTTCATCTTTCTTTCTTCCTGTCTCTGTCCCATTCTAATCATCTATTCATCCATAGGTCCATCAATCCATTCTAAGGCCATGTACTAGCCACCCTTAATAACATAAAGATTATGAAAACAGGATTGGGATTTAACACATCATGAGCTTCTGGACTTCTCCATGTGTTCCTAACTCACAATAATTCATCCATCCAACAGATAATATTGGGCTACACTGGGAATAGAATAATGACCTATTCACATAGGACCTCTGCATTTTTGGAACTTATATTCTAGTATCAGCCAGTAGGCTCATTGAATTATTTAACCTCTCCAAGCCTCTTTTTATCACTGTGAAATGGAATTAATAATGTCTGTCTTATAAGTTTCTTGTGAGGGACAAATGGGATAATGAATAATAATGTGCTGAGCCCAGAACTGGCATTCAGTTAATACCACAAATCTTCCATTTATCGATTTAAGTACTACTGTATGTACATCTGTGCTTTATACATAAAAGGAGTAGATTTTTCTTTGCCCACCTCAGCCAAACCAAACAAAACAAAAACAAATTTTGTACCCTCAGGGGCAATATTGCCTCCATTGAGGATGTGTGCTTTAAAACAATTATTTTGCATGTTTGTCTTCCTTCCTTGAGAGAAAGGGAATATCTTGCTCATCTTTTCAACTTTGGATCCCCAATATATTACACATTTCCTGACACATAGGAACCCAGTAACTGCACATTGAATGTGTGAACAAATGGAGTGCTTACAGGTGAGAAAACAGGGTCTCAAATATAAATGATTTCCTAGCCTACTAGACACTCAAGTCAGTATTTTAACTTACGACTTTTGACTCTATGTCTCTTTGTATTTCCACTACACCACATGTTCTTTGTGCATATCATCAATATTCTATAGTAATTTATAGTTGAAAAATGTTTTAACATACATTAAAAAAATGCATGATGATTGATTTAACCATAAGTCATAATCTGCTTTTTTCTGAGTTAGGTCTGGCGTGCTCCAAAAGAATGAATAGATTACTTTTGACCTCTTGGATATGAGACATAAAGGAGAGGGAAAGGGAAGAGTCAAAAGATGACTATTGAGGGTTTTCGTTTGAACAATTAAGTATATGGTGGTGACATTCACTGAGCTTAGAGAAAGAAGACAAATATGTTGGGGTAAAGATAATAAATTTAACTCAGTCCTAACTAGGCAATGTTGTAAAAGAAGCTGGATATCTGTTATCTGGTTCTCAAGAAAAAAAAATGAGATGTTATATAGACTTAAGACTCTATATGCTGATAGAGCATATGGATTTTAATTAAAATCGTAGGAGTAGATGAAATAACCCCTGGTAAAGGACTATAAGAGAACTTTGGAAAACATTTCAAGAATGTTAAGGGAAGAAGTATTTTTTAAAAACAAGAGACTGAAATGTCTAGAACTGAATTACCCAAAATATGATAGTATGCTATCAATTGGTTACATGATTTATCATGACATTGATCCTTTATACTTTCAGAAGGCCATGTGTTTTGGGGTGGTCAGAGGCACTCCTCAGGCTGGTTACTTCCAGCCATAAGCAGTTTTGTCTGTTACCCCAATGTGAGTACAAATATCATTTGTTATATGTTCTATGATGTGAAAAAAATGTTGGAAAGTATTGGACTGAGATATAGGGGGCAATGATTAATAATACCAAAGAGTGTCATTGAGTGATAGATCATTGATAGACCTTGGTAAAAGTAGTATCAGTTAATTAGTATGTGTGCAAGCCAAATTTGAGTAGCTTGAGGAATGATGTGAGGTAAGGATTTGAATATAGTGGATTTAAATATATTAGAAACCCCAAGGTATTGGAAATTTAATGTTCTATCTCCACCATTTATTGCTTCTATTGCCAAAATCATGTCACCGTACAAGATAGATGTGGGAACTCCAATTATTTTGTCCACATTCCATCAAGCAGGAAGGAGAGAGATTACCAGAGAAGGAAAGGTCTCTTCAATTAAAACATACTATCAAGTAATTGCACTCACCATTTCAGCTAAGTCCCATTGGCAAGGAATATGTCTTATTTTTGGTGGCCCAAATCTAACGTTAAAGAAGACAAGAAGAATTACTCTATTGAGAGACAACTGTCTGTCTGCCACAGCAGATATTTTTAAGAAGTTTCATTGTGAAGGAGAGGTGAGAATATGGAGTTAACTGGATGGGAAAGTGGAGAGGGAAGCGAGACTGTTTGTTTTGAAGAACAGAGAGATACGAGCATGTTTATTAAAATTGAGCCATTAATGAAGAAGTTGAAAATACAGGAAAAAGATCATAGTTGGAACCTTTTGCTTTGGTAATTGGAAATGAAGAAAAATACATGTTTTAAATGCAGTAAACTTGTAGGTATTTTGACAGGAAGGTAAGTAACATTTCATGTGGTATTTCATAACGCACGTTGATATGACCAATATTATTTTCTAAATCTAGAAATTCAATTCTGGAACATATCTGGCCCCAAGGATTTGAGAGATGGAATTTGAAGACCTCTATATTTTGGTAAAATAGCTAAAGTGAAAATCTACAAATTCTGCTTGCTTTCCATTGAATTTTTTGGGGAAATTTCTTCACTATAATTTTTTAAAACTTCCCCTCAAAGTTCATGGCATTGTATACAACAAACTGGCCATGTGTTTTTGGGGCAAGTCACTATCGCCCTGAAATTCATGTTCTTTAACCATCAAATGAGGATAATAAAGCCTTCCTAAAGGGGTATGGTGTAAAATAATAAAATGTATGTGAAAAAATGACTTTTTAATCTGTAAGCTATACTGCAAATATGAATAATTATACTTTTCTTTCTGCTCATAACTGGCATTATTCTTCAACAATCTATTTAGAATAGCTCTCACATTCACAAAACAAAATTATTCTTTCTAACTATTGACAGATTCTTAATGATTAGCTCACAGAATGGCGCACACTAGTGAGTATAAATTGGCAAGTAAGTCTTCCTAGTGTGACTGCTCCTACAGGTGTTAGCCAATTTTGACATGGATTGTTGTAAGTTTCATACTGTTACTAAAAGATAAAATGCCAAGGTAGAAAAAAACCAAATCCTTTTAAGTGGCAAAGAGATAACTACTAGTTATCCGCTGGCTTTCATTACATCTATCAGAAGGTCTTAGTTTCTTTCTAAAGTAACTTTATAATTGCCTGAAATAATGGACAAATTAAACAAGTACTATTTTTTTTTAAGGCAATAAGGAGACTTAATCCTTTCATTCTCTTTCTTATGGGAAAGAAATAAGCAAAATTAACAAAA